TTCAGATTTAAACATACTGACCGTAAAAGAAGTAATTCAGCGAAGAAGCAATTCATACCATATGAGATTAGACCAACATCCAAATCCAGCCATGCAATTAATCAAAAATCATGATCCAACTAGAAGGCTCAAAAGAAAATGGCCAGAAGATCTACTAACTTAATTTAAGCTCTGATATATTACTAACATAGATTATTTATTAACATAGATTATTTATTAACATGGACATATTTTATTAACATTGATTTATTTTATAAACATAGATTATCTACAGGGGAATCTCTTCAGTGGAAGATACCTCTAAACGTCATATTTATAATGATCACATAGACTCATAGAAAATTGTATTTCTGATTGTCTATAGTAAATAAAGAAAAAAAAAATTTTTGATTTTTTTAAATCGATTTGATAGTATGAGTTTAAATGTGAACGAAAAGTTTAACTTTTTTCGAATTACAAAGAAACAGCTCGGCAGATCCTCGCACAAACGATAGTCCTCATTGAGATACATCAAATAGCTTTTAAATTTCTGAAATTGGTTTAGGCGTTTTTGAGAAAACGTCGATTTACGGCTGTGTTCACACAAACACACATTCATACTTTTTCCAAATTTGGTCTAATTCGATTCAGAATAGCTTGAAACGTAGAGATAACATAAAATTAGCGAATCGCATTTTTTGATAAAAACGTAAACTTCTCCTTCGGGAAGTTAATAAAGGATCATTTACCAATAAAGTAATTCAAGTGAAAGTACAAAGACTGTAATTTTTTTATTTACCATGATATTTAAGAAGTTCATGCCTGTAAAATATAATCTTCAGAAAAAATCCAAAAAATATAACCCAATAACACGTGGCACCAATAATAAATTTATTAGATATAATTCATACTATTGGTTGTTTAATGGTGTTCAATTAGATACGATCCAAATAGTCTCAAGGACGTGGCAAACAATTGCTTAAATTGAGGTCAGGCCAGAGATTTGAACTCAGTCTATATGCACAGTAACAATTATTAGTGGCATCGAAAACAAGCAGACATGTGCAAATCTCTAATTTTAAATTAATATATTTCTATAAATAAATTGTATTGGAATAATATTTGTCATTTTAGACAAATGCATTGAGCAAATAAAGAAAGCAATTCATTCATTCATTGTTCATGATAATAGAAATGTTTGTGTTAGGGATGCGTGCATTTAATAAATAAACTTTATAGTTATCTACAATAATGGTGATTATAAAACACACGTAATATTTAGGCAAATATGTATTATAGCCTCATTATATCAAATAAAACTATCAATCAACAGTCCAACAGTTTACAATATTTCAGCAAGTTTTTAGAGTATATATATTGGGCATAGAATGTATAGCTAATGAACCATTTATAAAGCTTCAGCGACATATAAACTATTGTTTACAATATTAATTTAAAACAACATTTCTTTTTTTTTAATTCAATCGTTTTTAATGAATAAGGAAATAATGAAAATTTGTTTCGAAGTTTTATATCAGAACATTGACATGATTTAGAAATTCATTTTTCTTAATCTTGATTTCTTCATTTACACTGAAATATCAAACCAAGATGTTGAATTTCTTGAATCTAATATTGAAGTTTTTAAGTATAACAGATATATAAATTTTGAGATTTTTAACATTCAGAGAAAAAAAAATTCACGAAAAATGATTTGTTAATTTTATGTATACTCGACGTTTTAAGTCAATCTGAATCAAATAATATTAGGAAAGAGTATCTGATATCAAAAACGCCTGAATCAATTTCAAAAATTCTTATAAGGGCACTCGTTGGTCGGTTATGCATGACGATCGGCCAAGTCGTTTCTTTGAAATTATTGGAAAAGTGTAAAATTTTTCGACCACGTTTTAGGCTAGAATCTTTAATCGATTTCAAGAATTAAAAAACAGTTCAAAACATTTTGTTTGGGAATCTCGTTAATTAGTTTATGTTAAAGGTCGACCGGGCCATTTCTTCGTAATTAAATGAAGTAAAAGAATTTGAAGATTGGGATAAAACATTGTATAAAAATAAATTTCATAGTATAAAGTATATGTATATAAAATATAAGTATATAAAAATTCATCAAAGTTTAGAATTTTGCCGCGTCCTTGAGTAATTCTAATCAGAATCTAGACCGAAGCATCCCCATGGTGTTTCGTAGATCGCTACTGATTATAGTTTACACTTAATAAAACATATTTTTAAACCCCGAAATGAAAAAAAATAAAATGTATAGGCGCATTGAAGGATTTAACTAATACCATAAGTCAGAACCTTGAAGAGAAAAAGCATACAGTAGCAATATTTATTGACTTTTGATACATTGGATCACAATTTATTAATTATTAAAATAATAGGGATTAGAAGGTTTGCAAATTAGCATGTTTAAAGATTTCCTATCAGAAGGAGCTGTAAGGACCAACGTGACAAGTGACAGATGCAAAATAAACTGTGGAGTCCCACATGGCTTAGTTTTAAGACCTTTATTATATCTCATCTATACAAATAATCTTCAAGAGGTAAAAATAAAGGAAAAATACATTCTATATGCCGACGATACTGCCATAGTTTATGCAGACAAAGAGAAAAAAATGGTAAAAGAGTCGGATAAAACTGTATGGGAATAAATTTCAAAAAAAATCATCAAAGTTTATAATTTTGCCGCGTTCTTGAGCGATTCTTTTCAGAATCTATACCGAAGCATCTGTACACGTTTTGTGGTGTTTCGTAGATAGCTACTGATTACAGTTTACACTTAATAAAACACATTTTTAGACCGCGAAATAAATAAAATGAAATGTATGAACAGATTAATTTAATTTATACAAATACAGATGTTACAGGTTTCCTTAAAGATGTCAATTGAAAATCGCTTTTAAAGAAAGCGAGATCTCTATTTTAGAAATAAACAGTTAAACATTTTAGTTGAATAGAAAATTCAAATTCTTGTTGATGAAGTCACGTATCGGGATATTATTAATGCAAGTTGCCTTAAGGCAAAACGCTATTAATAACTAGTTTTGAACTAATTTTTAGATCAATTTTACACAAATCTAATCACCTGAAATCTGTCTAGTCCTTCAAAAAAATACAATCACCAGGCCATCGTTCTATTTTTATTACTATTGTTTTTTATGGATACTTGCCAAACTTTTATGTATATGGATTTATCTAATGATAAATTTAGTTTTTATTGGTTCCATGACAAAAACTTAAAACTTTCAAATTTAAATAAAAATTGTTCGATTTAGTTTTCTTTTTATTAATATTTATTACATTGTTCATTATAATTTATTGATACAAAATGTAGTTTCATGAAAACTTGATTACAAGAAAAAAAATTGAATATGGTTCCAAATGAAAAAGCAAATATTTTTAAATAGATCATGCAATATAATTTACGCATAAAATATATCAATAACTTTACTGTTTCGACATTGTTTACGGGTTTTTATAGATAACTCAAGATTGTAACTGCGTTCTGACAAATGTCGATAAAAGTATATACAATGCCATATGCATTTGCCAAGAATAAACTGTTCGAATTGCTTTATAATTTCACCTTTATGGAAAACCTTTTACCGAAATACGATGTGTGAAAATAACATTCGTAACCAAACAGGTGAAACAATTGTTTTTAAATTTCTTGCAGATTACACAAGATTCACACAGATTCACACAAAATTTAATTCATAGACTTAAATTAAATTAATAGACAAAATTAGAGATATATCTACGATAAAACACACTTCAATTACGCTTATACATTCAGTAAAAATTAATAAATCTCAATCGAATGTTTTTTGAATAATCGAAATCGGTTGAATCGTGCTCCCGAAATCGTCGACGAAAATTTGTATCCGCACACACACACTCACACATACATTCATTTTTTATAAGGAATGCCAAAATGTTCAGAAACCACTAAAACGTAAAGATATATAAAAATTTTCATTTGCAATTTTTTTGCAATTACTATAATTTAGCCTACGAGAAGTTAAAAAACCTGATTCAAAGCTTTTTGATATAAAAAATTCTTAAAAAAGGTAGGTCAAAATTTTTAGTCATTCAAGCCCATCGTAATTCTGATTCTATGGTTATTTCAACAAGCTTTGCCAAAAAAACATTTAATTTAGAACTAGCGAAATAATAAAAAGTTTAATAAAACATTTTCTTCATATGAACATTCACATCATAAATTTACCATGGAAAAAACTTCATATCAACTTTGATATAGACAATTGTTAAAAAAGGTATACGCATAGACCTGTTCCAAATCAGTGTTTAGGCCTAAATGTTAAAATAGTAACATTTAAATTAAAAGTTATTTAAATTTAAATATTAAATACCAATAAATTATCAATTTAATTTTCTAAATGTATATATTTGTAGCCGGAACGATGATTGCGAATGCCGGAACCGGCGAATTCGCATTTATAAATAGTCTAAAAGCATGCTGACACTTTCCAGAACAAGCATTTGGACTCACAATTTTGTGACAAAATAAAATGGTTATAAAATTAAAAATAATTTATAAATTTTAATAGTAAAACATGTCCTCGAAAGTATTTAAATAAAATTCATCACCGTTGAGATAATTTTTCTTAACTTTCCATTAATTTTTAGGTTGAATTGACGATTGCATTTTGGACATATAAATATCATTCGGTTCATTTAATATTAAAGACCAAATTAATATTAATTTTGGGAATTTAATACTTTGAAAATTGTATGAAAACTCTTAAAGTATTATGCATTTTCCAATAATGGTAAATTAGTTAGGTAAGAAAATAAGGTATGTATTAGTACGCCATTCCTACATACAAATACATATTATGAATGTGAGTTCTATATCTAAATGATAAGGCAGAAACCACTATAATGCATAGGGAGTAGTTCTAAATTCAGTCGTTTTATAATAAAATAATTCAAAATTTACGTTTTACAAACATTTACTCATATTTTTCCAAACTCACCCCGAACTACGAAGCTCTGGTCATCCTTCCTGTAGCCCAATTTATCCTTTTGCACAAATAACCAATAATTCAAAACATCCCCTACTTTTAACTTCACTTGAGGATCGTAGAATGACCAGTATCCATTTCTCTCTGCAGTAATATCCCTGGACAGTTGACCAGCTTCCAAGCCAACCATGGGTTTATTCACAGAACCATGAAAGGCAAAAAGTTCAATTCCTTCTTGGTGCGGAATCGACACCCTCAGCCCTCGTGGATGGTAAGCTTCAACTTTAGCCTGAGGTACCACAAAGACACCTTCCTCGATTTGAAGATCTCTTCCGTTGCCATTGTTGCCATGAGGAGAGGCAATGGCGCCCAAAGTACACATGGCAATGAAGAGCATTTTGAAATTCCAACGGCACATATCACCGTACAGAGCACTTGTAAAGTTTTTTCTCAATAAAGCACTTTTTTTGAAAACTTAGATAAAATTGTTGACAAATTAACACAGTGCTGTGTTGGAGCGCAAAGGCCGACTGGCGGTGACTGATTCGATCACGAATTAGTTAGTTAGTCATTTGATGTATGAAGATGCTGTCCTGGTGCGATAGTATGAGTGGTAGTGGTTTTATTTGTCGCACAGATGTGTGTAATATTAAGTCGCGTATTTTATTCGCTGACTGGCATATCTCAACTCAAAAGCGGCTGACTGGATGAGATATGATTTATCCACACACTGTACGAGGGACTTTATAAACGTTTGCTAAACTTGCGCCATTCATTACACATCATTATACTATTTATTTGGTGAATTAAATTAAATTTGCACTCTTTACAATTTACAAATTCAATGGTCGAATTAACCATATTTTTAACTTTTCGGTGAGTTATAGTAATCGAAAAAAATCGAAAATGAAAATTTCTATATATCTTTACGTTTCAAAGGTTTATAAACATTTTGGCATACCTTAGATAAAATGGATGTATGTGTGTATGTGTATGTGTGTGCGCGTGTGTGTGTGCGGATACGAATTTCGAGAACACGGTTCAACCGATTTCAATAAATCAAAAAACATTCGATTCCTATTCATAAGGAGACGTACTGACTAATTATTGGCAAACCCAGGTCCAACCGTTTCCAAGATACAAGGCAAAATTGCCAATAACGGTAACTCAGCTTTAAGAGAATTTTTTGGGATCTAGCAACAAAAAAATGCCATTTGGTGGTCAAAAATGATCATTAGACAAATACACATCAAATTATCAGACGTTTCAAAAAGATTTTAATAATGCGTATAAATTTTGGTTAGACGGCGACGCAGAGCTTACGCGCATCGATATTTCGTCTCTATGCAGCTAAAGCAGCGCCATTGATTTGAAAAAACGTTTAAAATTACCAAAATATTTCAGGAGAAGTTTATGTACGTATATTATCAGTTATGAGCGACGATCGGTCTAGATGTTTCGTTTTAATTAGCACACAATCCCGAATCGAAAATTCAAATACCTTCCAAAAGATATCGGTTGAAAATAGTGCTAATTAATTTTTGGCAAAGTTTGGCATATTTGTTTTATTGTAATTATTTGTTGAAATTATTTTTTCTACCATTTTTATGAAACTCTTTTGACGATAGACATCATGGTCTGATAGAACATACTAAATTACGGCCCTACTACAAGTTATTGTTTAATTTTAAAAATTTATCTTAGTTCGAAAAAATGACCAGAGATTTTTTTACATTTGTTATTTAAGGCTTCAAGACTTTTCATCGACGTTTTCTCAAAAACATCTAAACCGATTTCACAAATTGAAATTCCATTCTATGGAACTTGTAAGCAGTCACATTGGTTAGTTTTTTATACTATCAGCTGAGCCGTCTCTTTAGAATTAGCATATTTTACTGATACTTGGTATAGCGATAGAATACATAGTCTTATTATACATACTTAAACATTATAGTCGTACAAAAAGTGATTAAATTATAAAAATTTATTAAAAATTGAATTATTCAAACGCGGTTTCAAAATATACTCCGCGTAGGTATCAGGCACGTGTTCGATTTTCAATAATTAGCAATAAAAAATATGTACAAAATTGAATAATCTGCAATAGTCTTTTTATATTGTTAAAAACTACAGCAACTCGGCATACTTATATATCTCTCATAAATTGATATATTGATCTCTTATTGATTAAGACGATTAATTACACATGTTAAGAAGTTCATGCAACTTGCATTAAGGCAAAATGCCACATCTTCCAATGAGTTTTTTTCCATTGGCCATCATCACTAATTGTAAGGGCAATTATTAGAACTAAAAACTAAGGGTGATGATACTTCTCTTTAACTGTGGAGATTTTTAGACGGACACTCATTGGCGGATCTATCACTTTGTTTTTTTTTTCTTATTATAAGACAGAATTTTTGTTTTATTATCAGATAGACAACAATAAAGTTTTCCCGATGATGATGTCGGTTAAATTGAGAAGTGGTAATTAAAATATTAAAAAATTTCAAGGCAGTTCTGATGGCTAATATGTAGGAAAATTTTGCTCTAGTAAACATGGTAATACGGATGTTGGAAACTGAAGATAAATGAATTTCGATATAGCTAATTATGAGTCACTAATAGTACGACTGAGATGTAAAAAGAAGTGATAAAATGAAACATTGTAACAGAAACGAACAAGAAGGGTCTAACACAATGTTTCCCAAACTTTAAAGAAAAAAGATTATTTTTGCATGTCTACCAGAATTTTAAATACAAACTAGTGATGCAAAAATATATGTTATTATTTTTGCTTCGCATCTTCAAAACGGCTAGACTCTGTCTTCGCCAAAAACTAATCATCACGTCTCCTTATCATTACGAATTAAATGTTTGTTAAATTATTCAAATCGGTTGACCCGTGTTCCCGAAAGCGTCGACGAAAATTTGTATCTGTACACACACGCACACACATACACATATACACACATACATACATACATACACACACACATACATTCATTTTTTAAGGTATGCCAAAATATTCAGAAACCTTTGAAACGTAGAGATATATAAATTTTAGTAACTAACCCTGCGGGAAGTTAATGAGATGATTTTGATAAGGCGAGGTATAGGAAATCCTGATTTTGAATTCTCACGCTGAGTTCGTCATGCAGATTATTACATCACTCTGAATCACATTATCGAAAACGGATATGTCCAAACGATACTACGAGAGTACTGATATTATGTACAGTGTACAAAATATAAAATTCGTGCTGTTTGTTATAATTTTAAAAAAATATTCAGGTTTTGATGATTTGTTCGCATTGATGTAACGTAGAGACGGAATTATTTTCAAAATAACTACAACAATTGCAAATACTCTTTAACAGGCTTTGCTATTCATCACTATTGCGGAAATTGTACGCATAAAATTACCACATACAGATAGGACAATTGTTTGGGTTGCCATTTATGAAAGAAACCATGTCGTTGAAGAAGTCAACAAAACAGCTTATAGTATACCCTATACTGTATACGATTGCTATAAAAAACTATTAAAATTAACTTTACAATTTTCTGTTTTCTTTGTACAATATCGATTTACGTGCTTCTTGCCCAATCACCAAATTAAACAAATTTATATTAAATCAATAGCTTTCAAACGGATTTTAAGTGCTGCTATCTAGAATGTCTTGAGTAAATGTGACGTCTAACAATAAGTTTTTCATTTTTGTAATTGCTAATTGTGAAAAATGTTAATATCATAGAGTTGATTTTTACTTTCAAAATTGTTCACTCTAGAAGTAAATAATAAATAAGTCACATACGAAAATCAATCTTTACCAAAACACTATGAAATGATACAGATATTCAGAGAATCCGTTCAACATATGGAAAATATTAAAAAATATAATATAAAGCACTAAATTTTATTGCTTTTTAAAAACATTGTAGCTGTTGAAACTTTTTACTTTATAGTGCTCTTGTCTTCCTATATAAATATTATAGCAATTGGCTGCTCATGCAGCTATAAATAGAATTCATAAATTATAACACAATTACAATTAATATTACTAACATAATTTTTATCCACTGTTAATTACAAAGAAACATGCTTCGCTCTATTAACACAAAATGTTAGTTAACTTTAATGAAAACTGATATATAACGAAAAAATACAAAGAAATTGATTAACATGTTTTTCAACCAGCATGCATATATTGTTCGCATAAAAAATATAAAAATACTAACTTTTATTGCCTTCATAAACATTGTAATTGTTAAAAATTATATTTTCGACTTAGATTATCAGACAATTGGTTGCTCACGCAACAATAAATTCAAGCCATGCATAAATCTATAAATTAAACTAATATTTTTTTCTAAAGTATACGAAACTATTCCATAATATGTTAACAAATAATAAAGAACTGAAATTGTTTTTTGTTATTATAATAGAAATAATTTTTTGTCAGTTTTTAATTGAAGGTAAATAATCGCAAAAAAATGAAAATTTTTTTTTTTATATTTACGTTTCAAAGGTCTCTGAACAATTTGGCATACCTTATAAAAAATTAATGTATGTGTGTGTATGTATGTGCGGGTACAATTTTTTATCGACGATTTCGAAAACACGGGTCAAAAGGTGACAAAAATTGTATTTTAGTTTTTGAGAAAGCGGACCGTCCGATTTGAATGATTCCAAGAAAATTCTCTCGTATTAAACAACTGGTAAAATGTTTGAGAAAGCAGGTTCAGCGTTTCCGGAGATCAAATAAAAAAGTAATAAATGATGCCACTTGGCGGTCAAAAATGATCATTAAACATAAGCGCATCATATCACATATTTTAGAGATATTATAATAATAAGTACCAATTTTGTGTACATTTATATGCGCTTGGATATTGAAACATTCAATAAAATTAAAATTTTTCAAAATAGTCAATTTCTTTCAAAAATTTCAAAATTATCACAAATTTAATTTTTACTGAATTTAAAAAAAATAAGATTTAAAAAAAATAGTTTTTGGTACAGGAAGTTCCAGCAATTTGCCTTGAGGCACGATGCAGTGCACCACTAGTTTAATTGTAATAAAATATATAAAAAGCATAATAAAAACTGATGTTGCTAATATTATTATCGTGGTTCAAAATAATAATAAGATTCATATAATTCAGTATATAAACATGCGTGCCAAATGCAAGTGAAATTTATCAATGAATAGTTACCAACTATTGCCAAAAACTAATCATCACTTCTCCTTATTTTTGGCCTAGTCGTTTTCGACCCCAGATGTCCAGCACTGTGTATGTTCTAAGCCTGTTAGTGTAGTTTCCTATCCTATCGACCGATTCTCATTCGTTTCCGAACGCTGCACCTTTGTAGAATTCCATGGAATTCTCGGCTT